AGGGTCTGCATTCCGGGGCTGTGGGGGGAGAGGAGGACAGAAACACAGCACAAGAAAACAACAGTGGAGAGCAGCCAGGGCCAGGAAAGCCAAACAGGGAGACAGGAGCAGGAAGCAGGTGGGCAGGGTGAGGCCTCCCAGACCTGGAGGGTGAGAAGGGTGGAGCCAGGCCAGAAGCTGGGGGTGCCCCTCCCAGGGAGGAGTGAGTGAGAAAGGGCCTGCCTTGCTCCAAGTGATGGCAGAAGGGCGAAGGAGAGCAGCCCAGGTGAGATTAGAAATCAGGTGGCAGGTGAGATTAGAAATTAGGCAAGGCCTTGTGAACCATGGCAAGAAGCCTTTGAAGGGCTTTCAGAAGTGAGATAATGGTTTTCGGTGACTCTAGTGATCGAGTTGGAGAGAAGCAGGTGGCAGTCGAGGAGGGAGCCCTCAGGTTCATCCAGGCTGGCCACCTGTTGGAGGGAGAGGGAGGAGACAGAGGGTGAAGACTCTTCCCCACCACTTCTCACACCAGCTCTGATGCCCTGTGACGCCATCACCTTACAGAATGGTGGCTTCATGGAGCCCCTGTCAACTGGCACCTCTGGGCTGCATGAGGGCCGTACTCTGATCACCTGAGACTCGCTCTGAAATGAGTTCTTCCCTGAGGCCTCTTGGATTCCCCTGCAAGTGCAATGCCCACTGTGGGCTCACCCCCTGGGGTCTTTGAGAACGAGAGGCTGCATCCTCCCACCCCACAGAAAGGGCTGCAGAATGATCAGACCAGGTTACTTCCATGGCAGGGAGCGTGCGCTGGGAAGAGCCCTGCACTCTAGCTGTGTGTCCCTGGAAAAGTCACGTCTGTGAACCCCAGTGTTTTCATGACGGGAGCACTGCCTCCCTTCCAGGGGTGTTAGGGAGCTGGTGCTGGCTTCCGATAGGAAAAGGCTTGGAAAGGCAGCAGACTCTTGAGGCAAGAAAGGAAGAGGCTTGGAGGCCCCTGAGTGCTTTTCAAGCCTAGAGGTTCCGGTTTCTACCTTTCAAGCCCACCTTTTGCTTTCCCGGGAGCCTCACCCGCAACCCTGGCCCCCCGCCTTGTTTTTCTCCTTGTTTCATCCACAGCCACCCCTCCCTACCCATCTTTCTCCCCTTAATGTACCTGTCATGCCCACCTCTTTGGCAAGCGGGGAGTGAGTGATGGAGGTGGAGCATGTGGAAGGCGGGGGCTCCTGCTCACTGCGGGGTCACCGCTGCCTGGCACCTAGTGGGTGTGCAGTAGGTATCTGCAAACTGTAGGGACAAATGCTGCCGGGGGGTCTTGATGTTGTGCCAGAGTAACCAGCCTGACGCCACTGGGATGGAGCAGGTAGCCTGACGAAGTCAGGTTTGTGTGTGGGGGAAACCCAGCAAGTGCTATGGCAGGGGCCCAAAGCCTCAGCCTGTTCCCATATAAATAGTGATTTAGAAAAGAATGAGAAACGTAAGTACATAGTTACTCCTTTATATAACCATATATAATCTTACAGTTACTCACTTATAAAGATATATACTCAATATAACCTTTAATTTTACTAATGACTATTGGGACATGAAGCATGGAACTGAGGTGACATTGTGAATAAAGTGGCCCAAAGGCAAGATGCTCTGAGCCTCTGTCACGCCCGCTAAGGGCTGCTGGAGGGCACCTCGGCTGTGTGGCAGTGCGGCAGCGCCAGCGCTGGGAAAGCCCCGTTGTTTAGGCAGCGAGGGAAGGAGACGTCCAGAATGACCGAGACATCTCCTTCCTGGGGAGTTAGGAGAAAACCCCGCCCTCCAAGCTCTTGCGGTGGGCCTGTTGGCTGTCAGGGAGGCCCGCAGACGTGCGTGGCTGGACTGTCCCTATGTGACCGCATCAGTGCTCACGCTCCATGTCCACTCTTGCGCTCCGCTTCTGCACCTGGTTTCTTTTTCTTAGCAGATAAGAATTAGTAACAGTAGGCTGGGCCTTTTATTTTTATTTATTTTTTTTTTTGTGAGACGGAGTTTCGCTCTTGTTACCCAGGCTGGAGTGCAATGGCGCGATCTCGGCTCGCCACAACCTCCGCCTCCTGGGTTCAGGCAATTCTCCTGCCTCAGCCTCCCGAGTAGCTGGGATTACAGGCACGCACCACCGTGCCCAGCTAATTTTTTGTATTTTTAGTAGAGACGGGGTTTCACTATGTTGACCAGGATGGTCTCGATCTCTTGACCTCGTGATCCACCCACCTCGGCCTCCCAAAGTGCTGGGATTACAGGCATGAGCCACTGCGCCTGGCCCAACATAATCTTAATGTCCTTGGTATTTCTGATAAATATGCTAAGAGCGCTCCTGGCCTCGGCTACTTGGAAGTCCCAGGCCTCCTGTCTATAAATCACGTGATTTACTGACCCTCTCGCCGACCACCAATCCCTCACGTGACCTTCCCTGTGCCCTGCTTTGTACTCAGTAAAAGAGCATCCGGGCACTCGGGGTCACTGCAGGACTCTACAGTTTTGTTGGCAGTGGACCCCCGAGCCCAAACTTTCTTTTCTCTTTCTCAGTGTCTTATGTCTTTTATTTCCAGTTTCTCATCTGCAACCAGCAGAGAGGCTCGCAGGACCCTGTAGGGCTGGGCCCTATAAGTTTGTTCATCTGTGGCCCCAGGAAATGCCTCATGGGACACAGGTAAAGAGAATGTTCCTAGGATCTTGTGGAAGGGTGAAGCACACATGAGGTTTAGATAAGGCAGCCTTTTTTATTTGAGTCTTGTTCTGCTGCCCAGGCTGGAGTGCCATAGCGCCATCTCAGCTCACTGCAACCTCCACCTCCAGGTTCAAGCAATTCTCCTGCCTCAGCCTCCTGAGTAGCTGGGATTACAGGCGCCCAGCACCACGCCCAACTTTTTGTATTTTAAGTAGGAACTGGGTTTCACCTGGTTTTACCAGGTTGATCTCAAACTCCAGACCTCAGGTGATCCACCCGCCTCTGCCTCCCAAGGTGCTGGAATTATAGGCACAGACAAGGCAGCCTTCTAAGAGGCTCAGAGCAGGGCTCTGTGCCAGGGGGCGGCCAGCATCAGTGCTGGGGTGCAAAGGGGCTCCGTTTTTTTCTGGGAGCCCCCAAGTCGTGCTAGTTCTGGAACACTGCGCCGGAAGTGGACTATCTGGGGCTCTTCCTCCAGGTTGGAAACCCAAGCTGCTTCGGTATCAAAGTGACTTGTACCCTACAGGGACCAGCAGGTTGTTTCCTTCTTACTGATAGATTTCAGAGAGCAAAGTTACTGCAAATGAGTGATTTGAGAGAGCAAAGTTCTCAGTGACTAGAAAAGCTGTCCTCCCTCAAGGACGGGGTCATTGTGACATGTGCTAGCTGCTGCAGGGTGTCCTTGAGAAACAGGGTTCCTTGTTCAATTTGTAGGTGGTTTTATCTGAGCCTGTTTTTCCAGCTTGATGAGGGGTCAGGTGGATTTTTGTTGCTGCTGTTTTGAGAAAGGGTCTCTGTCACCCAGGCTGACGTGCAGTGGTGCAGTCACAGCTCACTGCAGCCTCAACCTTCCGGGGTCAGGTGATCTTCCTACCTCAGTCTCTTGAGTAGCTGGGATTGCAGGTGTGCACCCTGCCCCCACAACCAGCTAATTTTTTGTATTTTTTGTAGGGATGGAGTTTGGCCATGTTGCCCAGGCTTGTCTCCACCTCCTGAGCTCAAGCAGTCCGCCTGCCTCACCAGGTGGATTTTACAGTCCCAGTGTGGGGGATGAGCTGCAGGAATGAAGGAGGCCATTGCTGCCCTCCAGCCTGGACCAGAGGCCCTGGGGACACGGAGGGGAGTGCACAGACGGAGGGCACATCCTGGAGGTTAGATGTGAGCACTCGAAAGTTGGGGGAAGAGCGCGGAGGCCGTGTCCACTGTGACTCCGGTCTCTGACTCAGGCTGTGGAAGAGGAGAGAGGTCTGACTCAGAATGTGGAAGGGACTCAGGCCGAGGAAGGAAGTGAATGAACTCAGTTTTGGAGGAAAGAGGCTGACTTTGAGGTGCTGGCAAAACAGCCTTGTGCAGATGCCTGATAAGTGAGTGGATGCTGGCGGGCGGGGTCACGGTTTCCGGGCTGGAAAACCAGAAGGCCGTGCAGGGGACATGCGATACCGTGGACATGCGGGAGCTGAATCTGCAGGAAGGTGGCCCCCAGGGAGGACGCGTGGAGTGGAAAGGGTAGGGAGAGGCGGAAAAACTCCAGAGCACAAGGTGGAAGGGCCCAGGGACAGCGAGCGAACGAGGTCAAGGAATGGGCGCCAGGGTGCCCAGGAAAGAGCTCTGATGAGAGCACGATCACCAAGCACCAAATGCTGCCTGAGAGGACCCAAAGCGCCGGTTGGATGTAGTGACCGGCCCCCTGGGACCAGGTTTTGGTGGGTTTGAGAAGGAACAAGCTGAAGAAGTGGGGTGACAGTTCAGACGTCTTGGAGTGAAGGGGGACTGGCTCAAGCGGAGCACGTGGGGTGGAGGGAGTCTATTTAGCCAGGCTGTGGAGCTGGAGCCTGATGGCTGCCGGGAAGCACCTGGCGCCAGGGAAGGGTGAGGCAGCGGCGTGAGGCCCGAGGGGAGGCGGTCCTAGGCTCCAGGCCAGAACAAGCACGCGGGGGAGTCGGGGGATAGTGGCCCAGGCCCACGAGGCTGCACTGCAGAGGCCTCTGCAGGGCGGGTCCGGCCTCCTCTCCGTTCCACGTGGGCCACTCTCCTCCCTAGGTGTCTTCACCCCAAGCTTAGCCTCTCCCCCAGGATCTCCCACACCCTGGCTACTCCGCTCCAGCGCCCAGCCCAGACACCCCTTCTCCCCAGGTACGGCTGCTGGCCCTAGGCGATGCCTGGGCTGAGTCATTGGCCACCTTCTCCTGGTGACGTCTCCGGACGCAAGCAGCCCGGCCGGATTCCTGGCACTGCAGCCGCTCCTCCAGCAGACCGAGGCCCCGCCCCGGCCACGCCCCACCGGGTTCGGCCCACTTCCTGTGAGGTGCGTCACCACTGGCTCCGCCCCACGCTTCTGCTTTCGCTTCCACGATTGGGGAAAATAACTGCCCGTCAGCAGTGTTGCCTGGCAACGGGGAAGGGGTGGCTCCTGAGGGAAACCTGTGGGCTGCTGGACCGGTGCGGACAACCGATCTGCGCCTGGAAGTCCGGCGGGGTAGGTGCATAGGCCTCGGGCCTCGGTGAGCAGACCCGGAGGCGTGGGCCCAGCTGAGGTACAGACTGGAGCAGATGGGCCCAGAGTAGGCCTGGGTCTTGCCCCTCCCTGGCTGCCCACGCCTCTCCAGGCCCTCGGGTCGTGGGAGGGAGAAGAGAGAGGTCAGAGGTCAGGGGAGGGAGAGGAATGAGGAGAGAGGTCAGAGGTCAGGGGAGGGAGAGGAGGGAGGAGAGAGGTCAGAGGTCAGGGGAGGGAGAGGAGGGAGGAGAGAGGTCAGAGGTCAGGGGAGGGAGAGGAAGGAGGAGAGAGGTCAGAGGTCAGGGGAGGGAGAGGAGGGAGGAGAGAGGTCAGAGGTCAGGGGAGGGAGAGGAGGGAGGAGAGAGGTCAGAGGTCAGGGGAGGGAGGAGGAGAGGGGTGGCGACTGGGAGGGATGGAGGGAAGCTCCTCTAGTGGAATCAGAATCACTCTGCACCTCCCGCTATTCATGTGGTCAGGGTAAAGAGTGGGGAGGTGCGTTCCCCAGGGTCAGGCCAGACATGTTGAAGGGGGATTCAGAGCCAGTGTAGACGCGGAAGGGGAGCGGTGCCTCCGGAGAGGAGACCAGTCTAGGGTAGACACTGAAGTGTATGTGGAGTGGGTCTGCCTTCTTACTCTGACCACACCCTGCTGGACTTTTCCAGGACAACTAGCTGATAACTGTTCCCCGGCCATGTAGGTGGCCAGCGCAGGGCAGGTTACCTTCTGACCCGCAAGCTCAAGCTGCGCGTTCACACAAGGGCCTCTGGCTCTGAGAGACAGACAGGACTTGAAGCCTATCCACATCAGGGAGCTGGAATCTCCCCAGCTCTAGGGTTGTGGGACCCTCGGAATAGAGAGTTGGGGCTTGGTGGGCAGGCTGGGAAGCACCCATGTAACTGCCTGTTGGAGAAGCTCTGAGTAGGCGGTGACTGAGGCATACAGGTGGGAACTGTGGGTCCCGTTCTGCACAGTCAGCCTTTCCAGCACTGAAGCGGAGCAAATTTCATTCTTTCCAAGCAGACCAGTTTCTCCTGTTCCCAGACAAGAACTCAGGGAGCCACTCTCTGTTGTCTTGGGTCTGTTATTCTGTCTCTGACCTTCAGTAAGCAGGTTGGATGCCCTGGGTTACCTTATTTCATCTTCTCAACCTTATGTTAAAGAAATGACTTAATGATGCTTATTAGAAGCACATTAATTCTTCAAGACCATTGCAGTGGGTGTAGGGACCACAGCAATGGGATGTTGTAGCAAAGGAGAGAGGCTGGGCTCCACGCTGAGGAGAGCACGGGCAAGTGGGAAGCCAGGGAGCCGGGTGGGGATCAGTGGATGGAAAACGACTAAGGAAACCTCAGGGGTAAAGTGGGTTCTCGGTAAGCTGACTGAAGACATTCTTACTGAAGGCCGATCAGGGTGATCAGACATTACCTGGGGTGAGCTTGTCCACTCCGTGGGCTGCATGCGGCCCAAGACGGCTTTGAAAGACACCCAACACAAATTCGTCTACTTTCTTAAAACATTATGAGATTTTTTTTTTTTTTTTGTCATACACACACACACACACACACACACACACACACGAGCTTATCAGTTATCGTTAGTGGGTTTTATGTGTGGCCCAAGGAAGCCAAAAGATTGGATACCCCTGACCTAAGCGTTGCACCTGGTTAGATAAGGAGTGAAGAGATAATGGTGATCAGGTAGCAATGGGTGGTGTGGTGGGTTTTTTTTCTTTTTCTTTTTTTCGTTTTTTTTTTTTTTTTTTTTTTTTTTTTTTTTTTTTGCTAAAACCAGATTTTACAACGAAGTACACAGACGGGCCTAAGGGCCTCACTAAAGAGTCTGGCCACACAAAAAATCCTGGCCACTTATTGTGGGCTGCTGAACTTTCTGTTTTTTGTTTGAGACAGGGTCTCCTGTCACCCAGGCTGGAGTGTGGTGTTATGATCTTGACTCACTGCCACCTCCTCCCCCCAGGTTCAAGCGATCTTCCCACCCCAGCCTCCTAAATAGGTGGGACTACAGGCACATGCCACCACACTGGCTAAGTTTTGTATTTTTGGTAGAGAGGAGTTCTCACCATGTTGCCTAGGCTGTTCTCAAACTCCTGGCCTCAAATGATCCTCTCGAAGTTCTGGGACTGTAGGCTTGAGCCACTGCACCTGGCTTCCATTTTGTCCCCTGCCCACCTCTTCAGAAGCCAGGTGTTCTCACCTTCAGCCCTGCTGATGTCTGGGACAGACGCTTGCTTGTCGTGAGGCCGTCCTGTTCATTGTAGGACTTTTAGCCGCATCCCTGGCGTCTGCCTGCTAGATGCCAGTGGCACTCCCCTCCCCCGGTTGTGACAACCACACTTTTCCAGTCCTTGCCAAATGTCTTCTGGGGTACGAACGTGTCCCCAGTTGAGCCCCACTGGCACAAGCACCCTTGATGTGTGCTCAGCACCAGCGTGCTTTTGTCCTTTGGGAGAACTTGATACAAGGAGACCCACGGAAGTCTCGAGGCCAGCACAGGGTTGTATTATGCGCAGCTTACAGTCCCATGACACCGAGAACACTTGCCAGGGACTGAGAGTTCAGGAATTTGGGTTTGGAGAGAGAGAGAAGAATGCGTGAAAGGCCTTCATGTCCTCCTCAGAATTAATTAGATGTCTGGCCTGATGAAAGAGACTGGGGCGAGGATGGACGGACTGTGGAGCACCTTTGCCGTTTCTTCATCTTGTCTGGCAGGGGCTCTCAAAGGAGACAGACTGTCCTTGAGATGTTCAGAGATGTGTCCCTTCACTGCACTCTGTAGGCACTAGGAGTGGCAATGCTGTGGACAGCGCTGTGTTCTTAGGGGCTGCCCATCTTCCTATGTCATTGGCACCAGCCCTGGGGTTTCTACTGGAGGCTCCCCCACACCCTCCTCTTTCTTGCTGGTAAAACGTGTTGCGAGCCTTGCTCTGCATCCGTGCCTTTCCTGGCATCTCCTGGGCCTGCCGTGGGCTGTGCTGCTTCGGAGCATTTCTGGGCTCCTGTCCTGTCTGTCGGCGCCTGCCCAGCCCCATACCTTTCTCCCATCCGCCTGGGAGCTGGAGCTGAAAGTGCAGCTCTGACCACCACGTGTCCCTGCTGCTCTTCACCCAGTGGGCATTGACATTTTGCACTGTAATTTCTCCTGGGCCTATGGACCCTTCACAGAGCCTCCAGCAGGGGTGTGTGATGCGTGAATGTTATTACAGAGTCAATCCTGTGAGGGTCCCGTCCAGCTCTGCTTTGCACTCTCCCCTCCGGAACCAGCGAATGTTCAGAAATCAGGTTACAATGGCTTGTGTCCTAATGCAGCCCTGCGTGATACAGTTGTTTCCCGGGGCTTAGGCACAGGTGGTGTGGCCTACCTTGCAGCCTCTTAGAGTTGATGCAGAGGCTGGGTCTGCCTTGTTGTGACTGCTTGGGCTGTGTCCCTGCAGGGCTCTGACTCAGCCCCTCTGTTTCAGAGCTGGGGACGCACCATTGAGTGGAGATTGAGCCTGGGCTGGAGGTTTTCCTTCTTGGCTCTCCTGCTTCTGTGAAACTTGAGGAGGGGAAGCAGTGAGATGAGATGGGGTGTGTGGGGAGAGCCCCAAGCTGCGTCGGGTTTCCAGCCTGTCTCTGCAAAGTGTACCCCAGTCCCCTTCCAAGGAGCCCCCCACTGGAGACTTCCTGTGCAGGGGGCACATTTGCAGTGAGGCCTGTCAAAGGCCCGTGCCCTGCGAGGATGGCTGGCACGTGAAAGGCAGGGCAATAACACGCTTTGGTGGCGGTGTGGGGAGAGAAGCTCATGCCTTGCTGATGAAGTGACTATGAAGTGGGGAGCGCCATGGCAGCCCTCAGAATGTTAAACGCAGAATGACCATGTGACCCAGCATGTCCACTCCTAGGTGTCTGTGTCGGAAATGGGAACAGAGGGACTCAGGTACACAGGTGTTCATTGCAGCACTGTTGATAATGGCCGGAAGTGTCCATCAGCTCATGATGGATAAGCAAAATGTGGTCCATTCATACAGCGAAATACTAAGGAGCCGTAAAGAGGGAGTGGAATGCTGACCCGTGCTACAGCATAGGCGAGCCTCAAAAATGTGATGCCAAAAGAAGAGAGAGAGTCTCAAAAGGCTACGTATCATATAATGCCATTTATTATTATTTTAGAGACGGGGTCTTACTCTTAGCCAGGCTGGAGTGCAGCGGCATGATCACAGCTCACTGTAGCCTTGACCACCTGTGCTCAAGCCATCCTCCCACCTCGGCCTTGGGGCAGCTAGGACCATAAGCACATGCCACTGTGCCCAGCTTGTTTTTAATAAATTTTTAGTAGAGATGAGGGCTTGCTGTGTTGATCAGGCTGGTTGCACACTCCTGGGCTTAAGTGATTCTCCTGCCTTGGCTTCACAAAGTGCTGGGATCGTGGGTGTGAGCCACCACGCCTCTCAAAGTGCTCGGATTGTAGGTGTGAGCCACTGCACCTCACAAAGTGCTCGGGTTGTGGGTGTGAGCCACCATGCCTCCCAAAGTGCTCGGGTTGTAGGTGTGAGCCACTGCACCTCACAGAGTGCTGGGATTGTAGGTGTGAGCCACCACGCCTCCCAAAGTGCTTGGGTTGTAGGTGTGAGCCACTGCACCTCACAGAGTGCTGGGATTGTAGGTGTGACCCACTGCGCCTCACAGAGTGCTGGGATTGTAGGTGTGAGCCACCACGCCTCACAGAGTGCTGGGATTGTAGGTGTGAGCCACAGCGCCTCCCAGAGTGCTGGGATTGTAGGTGTGAGCCACAGCGCCTCCCAGAGTGCTGGGATTGTAGGTGTGAGCCACAGCGCCTCCCAGAGTGCTGGGATTGTAGGTGTGAGCCACAGCGCCTCCCAGAGTGCTGGGATTGTAGGTGTGAGCCACAGCACCTCCCAGAGTGCTGGGATTGTAGGTGTGAGCCACAGCGCCTCCCAGAGTGCTGGGATTGTAGGTGTGAGCCACCACGCCTCACAGAGTGCTCGGGTTGTAGGTGTGAGCCACTGTGCCTCACAGAGTGCTGGGATTGTAGGTGTGAGCCACAGCGCCTCCCAGAGTGCTGGGATTGTAGGTGTGAGCCACCACGCCTCACAGAGTGCTCGGGTTGTAGGTGTGAGCCACTGTGCCTCACAGAGTGCTTGGGTTGTAGGTGTGAGCCACCACGCCTCCCAGAGTGCTTGGGTTGTAGGTGAGCCACTGCACCTCACAGAGTGCTGGGATTGTAGGTGTGAGCCACCGTGCCTCACAATGTACTCAGGTTGTAGATGTGAGCCACCACACCTCACAGAGTGCTGGGATTGTAGGTGTGAGCCACCGCGCCTCCCAAAGTGCTCAGATTGTAGGTGTGAGCCACTGCGCCTCACAATGTGCTCGGGTTGTGGGTGTGAGCCGCCATGCCTCCCAAAGTGCTTGGATTGTAGATGTGAGCCACCGCGCCCAGCCATGTAATTCCATTTATGTGAAACGCCCAGAATATGGAAGTTTATAGGGACAGAAAATAGACGGGTGATTCCCAGGGGATGTGGGAGGGAGGAATGAGATGAGATTCCCCACAGGGAGAGGCTCTTCTTTGAGGGTGATGAAAATGTTTTGGAACTGTGATGGTCACATAACATCGTGAGTGTACTGAATGCCACTGTACACTTGAGAGTGGTTAATTTTATGTTAGGTGAATCTCATCTTGGTAAAAAGAGAGATCCTGACCATACCCTGTTATCCTTTGAAGGTTTGAATTGTCAGGTCTTGATGGGGACTGTGGTTCATGCCCCACCTTAGCAGTATGGCCCTTCCCTTACTGGCTGAATCCCTTGGGAGATAATTTGCTGTTGCGGTGACTTTGTTTACCGAGTTGTCTGTGCGGGAGAGGGGGGTTGTGTCTCCAGCAGTCTCATTGACACTGGGTTTCCAGAAAATGTCCTGGGCCAGGAATTAACAGTCACAGCGCCTTCCCTCTTAGGAGGTTTTATTTTTTCATTTCTAACCATGCTCTTTTGTTTGAATTCCTCGATTTCTTGGTGCTTGACCTTTTCCTATAGTGAGGTTTGTGACAGTGAACAAGACCCCAGGTCACCTGCCGTTGGTTCCAGTCTCTGCTAATGCTCCTCCAGTGCCTGAAACAGATGATGCCCGCGGGCTGGGATCGTACAGCCAACATCAGCGCGGGCGCGTCTTGGCCCACTGCTTTGGTTGACTTGGTCGATTATCACGGCAGTCTTCTGAGGCTAGACTGTGACTCCTGTTGCTTTACGAATGGGGAAACTGAGGCAGAGAGTTTCAGTAGCTTGCCCAAGACTACACAGCTAGGAGGAGGCAGAGCCAGGACCACAAAGGAAAAGCTTCCCAACTAGTGTGTAGCAGTATTCTCAAGGTGAGATTAGTCAAATACATTGATTGTTCAGCCTTCGGTACATCTTTTTTCCAGCTCTGGTTTTAAAGAATGAATATTTAGGCTGGGCGCGGTGGCTCACACCTGTAATCCCAACACTTTGGGAGGTTAAGGCAGGCAAATCAGGAGGTCATGAGTTCAAAACCAGCCTGACCAACCCATCTCTACCAAAAATACAAAAATTAGCTGGGCGTGGTGGTGCGCTCCTGTAATCCCAGTTACTCAGGAGGCTGAGGCAGGGGAATCACTTGAACCCAGAAAGCGGAGATTGCAGTGAGCCCAAATCGCTCCACTGCACTCCAGCCTGGGCTACAGTGTGAGACCTTATCTGAAATTTTAAAAAAATGAATATTTAGATTAATTAAAATACAGATTGTTTTTTGTTCTGCCTTTGAGTATATTAGCTTGGGCACTGTGTTCTTAAATAAACCCGGGCTTTTTGACAATTATGGGTGTGTCTCAGTAGGTCATGGGAGTCAGGATGGGCTTTTCCAGCTTCGTTTGTATCAACTATTAATTTCTGCCACATTGAAACACTATTAGCCAGGCACGGTGCTTCACACCTCTAATCCCAACACTTTGGGAGGCTAAAGCAGGAGAATCACTTAAGGCCAGAAGATGGAGACCAGCCTGGGCAACATAGCAAGACTCCAATTCTACAGAAGACAGACAAAACAATTAGCCAGGAATCATGATGTGGTCCTGTAGTCCCAGCTACTTCGGAGGCTGAATGGGGAGGATCGCCTGAGCCCAGGAGGTTGAGGGTACAGAGAGCTGTGACGGTGCCACTGCACCCCAGCCTGATCAGCAGAGTGAGATCCCGCCTTAGCAACACAAAACAAAACCCAATTATTATGTAGCTCTGATGTGTTTTAGCTACACTTTGCGCCTAAATCAGTATTAACACTTTGCGTCTAAACCAGTATGTATTAACCTGACCATATAATTATCAATATTTATTTTCTGTGATGATTAAATTTTGATTTTTCTAACGTTGTGTCTTTTCTTTCTGCAGAGAATTCTGCCAGATACCTGGAGAGATGGGCAACAGCAGAAGCCGCGGGGGGCAGAGCTTTTGTTCACAGTTCCTTCCTGAGGAACAGGCTGAGATCGATGAGTTGTTTGATGCTCTGTCATCAGATAAAAGCAGCCCGAATGCCTCGTCCAGATCCTTCTCTCTGAAGGCACTGCAGGCAAGAGTAACCACCAGTGAGTGGTTCCCGTTTAGTTGGGAGCAGGGCCCTGTACTCTGTGGTCCTCAGGCCAGAATCTGTTTTCTTGTTTTTGTAATGAAGCACTAAAAGGTTGGTTTTCTGTAAAGGATCAGATTTGACCTAGTTTTGCCTTCGTGAACGATGTGGCCTCTGTCGCAGCGCCTGTGCTCTGCCATGTCTGTGAAATGGCCATAGACGGCGTGTTGAAATCTATAGTCTCTTATCTGTACTAAAGGAAACTGGAGTAGATGATGAATGATTTACACGCCGTTTTGGGGACATTTCTGACTTGAGATTAACATCAGAGGAGAAAGCCTGCTTCCTGTGTGTCTTGAACCACGTCTCTCCTAATTGCCCTCCCAGAGATGGGGAGACAGATGGGGTGACGGGTCTGCCCTTGTGGACTCGCAGGTCCGGGAACCATGACGTGTCAGGTGCAGCTTTGCCTCTAGAATGTGTACGTGCTCGATGTCTAGGAATTTTGTCATATTTCTAACAAAATAATGACATTTCAGACTCAGGGTTCATGTTGCAGGGAGTTGAAACTGCCCATTTGTCCATATTTTGTCCCGTTGCCTGGGGCTCTCAACTGCAGGTTTGAGTGCTCAGACTGAGGCAAGACACTGACAAGGAGATGCCGTCAGCTCATCTTCCTGGTAGTGCAGGCAGCCATCCTAGCGGCCTGCTTCCTCTTGGAGAATGTGCAGAGGACGAGCAGATGAGGAAACTGGCAGGGAGGTTATCTGGCTCACAGCCGTGTGGTTGTGTGTGCATGTGTTGTGCATGCGTGTGCATTCGTGTGTGCAGCTCCACTAGATCAGAAGCGCCCCAGCAGGCCTGCGGGAACGAGCGGAGCCGGCCAGGCCTATTTCAGACTTGACTGTAGAGTGGGTGGTAATGTCTCGATAAAAACGGCGAAGAGTTAATCAGAAGACCTTGGCGATGGAATGAAGTTTCCTTTGGAAAGGATGAGAGATGGCTTTTCCAGTAGGACTTTGCAGACATTGACCAAAATAGGGGTGCTCTTTTTGAGTGGAGAGGGCGGAAGCCTGCCTTAAAAGAGCTGCTGAATGTTGATGCTGGGACGAGCAGAGTCCACACGGCAGTTTGTTACAGGAGAGCCCAGCTCGCAGACCCTGCTGTGCAGGATGTGATTGGTGTGTGATTTGCTCCCTCTTTCCACTTCGTTGTAAATCCAGGACCAAAGCAGACTTGATGCTCAAGCAAAAAAGGAAAATGATGTTTTCATCCAGGCATTAATTAAGAATTAAATAGGTTGGGTATGGTGGTTCACACCTGTAATCCCAGCACTTTGGGAAGCCAAGGTAGGAGGATCACTGGAGCCCAGGAGTTTGAGACTAGCCCGAGCAATACAGCAAGACCCTATCTACAAAAAATACAAAAATTAGCTGAGTGTGGTGGCGTGCCCCTGACATCTCAGCCACTCAGGAGGCTGAGGTAGGCAGATCAATTGAGCCTCTGAGGCCTAGGCTACAGTGAGCTGTGATTGAGCCACTGCACTCTATCCAGGGTGACAGAGGAGATCCTGTCTCAAAAAACCCCCAACAAACTAAATTTAAAATTGAAATAAGAATGAATGAAAAATGCATATTGAGCCCAAGGGACATGGACAGGAAGTAAAAGCTGATATATTTGGAAACCCCCAATATAGAGACCACATTAGCCTAACACAGCCATATGTTATATATGTTAATAAATTCAGACATGCAAACAGCACCTGCTAGAATCTAGAATGAAGATGATGTTCAGAGCACAGTGAAGATCAGATGGGGGCCAGAGGCAGGAATGAGGAGACGGAGAGTTTAGAAGCAGGATGGGAGCAGACTGAGGGATGGCCAAGGTGAGCCACACCCAGGACGCTTGGGTGGTGTGAGGCCCTTAGGTGAGAGAACACTGCCCTGGAGATGCAGGAGCATTTGGTAGCTGTCGGTGGCATTGTGAAAAGGCCAAGGTTGGTCTTGGCCCCCCTTCTTATTTTCGTGGGATACTATTGCGACTGCTCTGATGAGTGGAGGAACACCTCTCCATCCTCACACCGATTTAGATGAAATGATATGAACTCACATGGAGTGGTTTCAAGGAGCAGAGCGTTTAATAGGCAAGAAGGAAGGAAGAGGCTCCCTTGTACAGAGAGGGGGGACCTCCAAAGCCAAAAGAAGAGGTCCCCAAGTATGGTAGACATCAGCCAGGTTTATATGCAGAGGCTGGAGGAGGTGTCTGATTTGCATAGGGCTCAGGGGGATTGGTTTGACCAGGCATGTCATTCAGGTAGCCATGAAAAAGCTGACCGTCTTACTCTAGCCTTTTAATATGTAAATGCAGGGTGCCCTGGATGTTCTACCCATGTGGGGACATGTGGAGGTGGCCATGTTGCCAGGAACATGTGGGGAAAGGGCAAGAAGGCCACGGGAAGTGCCATGTGAAGTGGACCCAGTTTCTGATGGCCTGCGTTTGCATATCAAAGGTTGCTGCCCTGGCTCTAAGAGCAGGGGCTTTACGAGAAACGTTTTCTTTAAAAGATGCAAATTTCCCAAGGACCCCTTTTCCTCTCTTTCTGCCTAAAATAATATCTTGATAACTTCCACAACACTACCAAGTTCACCTCATGCGCTGTCTAACCATTTTTTTTCTGCTTGTCCCCAACAGAACCACGTCGGGGAAGCTCTTCCCCTGGATATGGTCACCAGGTTGTATGATGGCATGCGGAGGGTTGACCTGACGGGGAAGGCGAAGGGGCCCAGTGAGAACGTGTCCCAGGAGCAGTTCACAGCATCCATGTCCCACCTGTTGAAAGGAAGCTCCGAGGAGAAGAGTCTCATCATGGTGAAAATGATTTCTGCCACAGAAGGTTCCATGAAGGCTAGAGAAGTCCAAAAGGTAGTGAGGCCGCGAGGCCCTTCCCAGCCTCCTCAGCAGTCTTGGGGACCATGGGTCGGGGGCAGAGGCCAGTTACATGGCAGATGGAGGAGTAAACCAACAGGTATCTGAGATGGGTCTCGATCAGTTGAAGTTTATTTTGCCATGATGAAGGGCATGTCTGGGAGTGAGGTCTGTGCCCTTCTCTAAAGATGATTTTGAGGCCTTCAGGACTTAAAGGAGAAAAGCAGGCTGCAAGGGAAAGAGGGAGGGTCTGGTCCCATTACTGAATCCACATTTTGCTAGAGGAAGGGAGCAGGTAGGGGAGAGTCACTATGTATCTGCCTTGTGCTCCGTAAATTGACACTTTACATACGATCAGGTGAGCACAGTCACTACCTGTGGAAATTTAATTAATTTATTTATTTGTTTATATTTTGAGACGGAGTTTTGATCTGTCTTCCAGGCTAGAGTGGAGTGAGGTGATATTGGTTCACTGCAGCCTCTGCCTCTGGGATTTAAGCAATTCTCCTGCCTCAGCTTCCTGAGTAGCTGGGACTATAGGCATGCACCACCAAGCCCACCCTGATCTTTTTATTTTTAGTAGAGGAGGGGTTTCACCAAGTTGGCCAGGCTGGTCTCAAACTCCTGAGCTCAGGTGATCTGCCCGCCTCAGCCTCCCAACGTGCTGGGATTACAGGTGTGAGCCACCGCACCAGCCAGCTGTGGAGATTTTAAACCTTTTGTCTGTAGCTCTCTGCTTAGGAATAAAAGAAAAGGCAGTTTCTTGCATGACTCCGCTTTTAGCGTAATTTTTCCCTGTGGCAGAGAGAATGGAGTCCTGAGTTTTTATTTTCCTCTCACATTTCTTCCCCCATGTCTTTGACAAATGTTTTGGAGAAAGCATTTTAGAGGAAATGAGTGTCAGGGCTTGGGTTTTGTCTGATCCGTCACGGCCGGAATGGTCACTCCTAGTCAGATGGGGCCCCCGTTGTTAGGGAAGCTCAAAAGCAGGCTGTGCGGTCTCATGTCCTGCGAAGGAAAAATAGTGGGGGAGGAAGAGAGAAAAACAACACAGAAAACAAAAAGGGGAAGACAGCAGCAGCAAACAGACAGAGGCCGTATTACTCCGAAGTCTGTGTATCAGCAGGCGGGTGTGGGAATGGTTGTGTGTGTGAATAGCAGGTGGGTATGGGAATGGCTGTGTGAATAGCAGGCGGGTGTGGGAATGGTTGTGTGTGTGAATAGCAGGGGTGTGGGAATGGTTGTGTGTGTGACTAGCAGGCGGGTGTGGGAATGGTTATGTGTGTGAATAGCAGGTGGGTGTGGGAATGGTTGTGTGTGTGAATAGCAGGCGGGTGTGGGAATGGTTGTGTGTGTGAATAGCAGGCGGGTGTGGGAATGGTTGTGTGTGTGAATAGCAGGCGGGTGTGGGAATGGTTGTGTGTGTGAATAGCAGGTGGGTGTGGGAATGGTTGTGTGTGTGAATAGCAGGTGGGTGTGGGAATGGTTGTGTGTGTGAATAGCAGGTGGGTGTGGGAATGGTTGTGTGTGTGAATAGCAGGTGGGTGTGGGAATGGTTGTGTGTGTGAATAGCAGGCGGGTGTGGGAATGGTGTGAATAGCAGGCAGGTGTGGGAATGGTTATGTATGTAAATAGCAGGGGTGTGGGAATGGTTGTGTGTGTGAATAGCAGGGGTGTGGGAATGGCTGTGTGAATAGCAGGCAGGTGTGGGAATGGTTATGTGTGTAAATAGGGTGTGGGAATGGTTATGTATGTAAATAGCAGGGGTGTGGGAATGGTTGTGTGTGTGAATAGCAGGGGGGTGGGAATGGTTATGTGTGTAAATAGCAGGGGTGTGGGAATGGTTATGTGTGTGAATAGCAGGGGTGTGGGAATGGTTATGTGTCTAAATAGGGGTGTGGGAATGGTTATGTGTGTGAATAGCAGGGGTGTGGGAATGGTTATGTGTGTGAATAGCAGGGGTGTGGGAATGGTTGTGTGTGTGAATAGCAGGGGTGTGGGAATGGTTATGTGTGTAAATAGCAGGGGTGTGGGAATGGTTATGTGTGTAAATAGCAGGGGTGTGGGAATGGTTATGTGTGTAAATAGGGGTGTGGGAATGGTTATGTGTGTAAATAGCAGGGGTGTGGGAATGGTTATGTGTCTAAATAGGGGTGTGGGAATGGTTGTGTGTGTGAATAGCAGGCGGGTGTGGGAATGGTTATGTGTGTAAATAGCAGGTGGGTGTGGGAATGGTTATGTATGTAAATAGCAGGGGTGTGGGAATGGTTATGTGTCTAAATAGGGGTGTGGGAATGGTTGTGTGTGTGAATAGCAGGTGGGTGTGGGAATGGTTATGTGTGTAAATAGCAGGCGGGTGTGGGAATGGTTATGTATGTAAATAGCAGGGGTGTGGGAATGGTTATGTGTCTAAATAGGGGTGTGGGAATGGTTGTGTGTGTGAATAGCAGGCGGGTGTGGGAATGGTTATGTGTGTAAATAGCAGGCGGGTGTGGGAATGGTTATGTATGTAAATAGCAGGGGTGTGGGAATGGTTATGTGTCTAAATAGGGGTGTGGGAATGGTTGTGTGTGTGAATAGCAGGCGGGTGTGGGAATGGTTATGTGTGTAAATAGCAGGCGGGTGTGGGAATGGTTATGTATGTAAATAGCAGGGGTGTGGGAATGGTTATGTGTCTAAATAGGGGTGTGGGAATGGTTGTGTGTGTGAATAGCAGGGGTGTGGGAATGGCTGTGTGAATAGCAGGCAGGTGTGGGAATGGTTATGTGTGTAAATAGGGTGTGGGAATGGTTATGTATGTAAATAGCAGGGGTGTGGGAATGGTTGTGTGTGTGAATAGCAGGGGTGTGGGAATGGTTATGTGTGTAAATAGCAGGGGTGTGGGAATGGTTATGTATGTAAATAGCAGGGTGTGGGAATGGTTATGTGTGTAAATAGCAGGGGTGTGGGAATGGTTATGTGTGTAAATAGCAGGGGTGTGGGAATGGTTATGTGTGTGAATAGCAGGGGTGTGGGAATGGTTATGTGTGTAAATAGCAGGGGTGTGGGAATGGTTATGTGTGTAAATAGCAGGGGTGTGGGAATGGTTATGTGTGTAAATAGCAGGGGTGTGGGAATGGTTATGTGTGTAAATAGCAGGCAGGTGTGGGAATGGTTATGTGTGTAAATAGCAGGGGTGTGGGAATGGTTATGTGTGTAAATAGCAGGGGTGTGGGAATGGTTATGTGTGTAAATAGCAGGCGGGTGTGGGAATGGTTATGTATGTAAATAGCAGGGGTGTGGGAATGGTTATGTGTCTAAATAGGGGTGTGGGAATGGTTGTGTGTGTGAATAGCAGGGGTGTGGGAATGGCTGTGTGAATAGCAGGCAGGTGTGGGAATGGTTATGTGTGTAAATAGCAGGGGTGTGGGAATGGTTATGTGTGTAAATAGCAGGCGGGTGTGGGAATGGTTATGTATGTAAATAGGGGTGTGGGAATGGTTATGTATGTAAATAGGGGTGTGGGAATGGTTGTGTATGTAAATAGCAGGGGTGTGGGAATGGTTATGTATGTAAATAGGCGTGTGGGAACGGTTATGTATATAAATAGCAGGGGTGTGGGAATGGTTATGTATGTAAATAGGGGTGTGGGAATGGTTGTGTATGTAAATAGCAGGGTGTAGGAACGGTTATGTATGTAAATAGGGGTGTGGGAATGGTTATGTATGTAAATAGGGGTGTGGGAATGGTTATATATGTAAATAGAGGTGTGGGAACGGTTATGTATGTAAATAGGGGTGTGGGAACCGTTATGTATGTAAATAGGGGTGTGGGAATGTTATGTATGTAAATAGGCGTGTGGGAACGGTTATGTATGTAAATAGCAGGGTGTGGGAACGGTTATGTATGTAAATAGCAGGCGTGTGGGAACGGTTATGTATGTAAATAGGGGTGTGGGAACGGTTATGTATGTAAATAGCAAGGGTGTGGGAACGGTTATGTATGTAAATAGGGGTGTGGGAACGGTTATGTATGTAAATAGGGGTGTGGGAACGGTTATGTATGTAAATAGGGGTGTGGGAACGGTTATGTATGTAAATAGGGGTGTGGGAACGGTTATGTATGTAAATAGGGGTGTGGGAATGTTGTGTATGTAAACAGGCTGCTGTCATTTCAAAGTCTAAGTTGTCTAGCTTTAGTTCTCAGGGCTCTAGGAAGAGCACAGCTTAATTGTCAGTGATTTCCAATTGGAACAATGAGTGGGGAAAGGAAGAGAAAGAAGGAAAAAAATGGAATGTTATTTTAAAGACTTACAGCCAGGAAAAAATTTTAGGATTCAGTCTTGATCTGTCGCCCAGGCTGGAGTGCAGTGGCCTGATCTCAGCTCACTGCAACTTCTGCCTTCCAGGTTGAAGAGATTCTCCTGCCTCAGCCTCCCAGGTAGCTGGGACCACAGGCATGCACCACCATGCCCAGCTAATTTTTACATATTTAGTAGAGATGGGGTTTCATCACGTTGGCCAGGCTAGTCTCGGACTCCTGGCCTCAGGTGATCCTCCCACCTCAGCCTCACAAAGTGCTGGAATTCCAGGTGTGCGCCACCGTGCCTGACCGACCATAAGTTATCTTTATACAAACCTTATGACTTACACAAAACATTGATGACAGGCTTGAACTTCCTGTTTTATCCTTCACATTTCACTTTCTTAAATAAACAGTCATGTTATTTGAGGACAGAAGAATTTACCATACAGGATTCTTTCCCATATAAAATGATTTTCCTTTTAACTTTTCTTACCAAGAATACCTCTTTGTAGAACTGTAAGAACTGTAACTTCAGCTTCCTTTACATCTCTTACTTACTGATTCCTTTCACCTTGTTTCATAAATAACCTTTGAATTAGATTAAAATTATTTTTCTTTAAGAAGACTTTTTTTTTTTTTTGAGACAGAGTTTCACTCCTGTTACCCAGGTTGGAGTGCAGTAGTGAGATCTAGGCTCACTGCAACCTCTGTCT